TTGGGATATACCGAGGCTGAAAGAAACTAAGGAATTTTGCACGCAAACCGAGGAGGAGGATATACCCGGGGTGGATCGCAGAAAAAAGGAAGTCTGTGAGATAGGTATACAGGTCAACATGGACAACAATAGCTTGGAAAACGATATCGAAAACATAGAAGACTACAAGGATATGGAGAAACTACTAGGACATGATTGGCCAGACGAGGTGTACACAAGGACTAAGGAGATAGTAGAATTTCCAATAAGGAATACGGATAGGGACTGCGATCTACTGACGTTAATAAACCCCAAGGAAAAGGAAAAAGGCCTAGGAAAAATTTTAAGGGATCATAATCCAGAGGCGTGGGAGCAACTAGACGAAAACAATAAAGACCTAAAGTACGTATCCACAACAACTATAGTGAAGACAAGTGACGACAAGACATTAGAACACAATAAATACACTTATACCCTCCCTTATGACCCAGAGGAAGAGCCGAAGTACGCGAGGATATATGAATGCATGGTAAAGTTAAAGAAGGAAATGGACAGGAGTGGAAGGAACAAACTGATATTTGCAGCAGCGGAAAACATCGATAGAGGAGTATGCAGAAAGGTACTCGAATGCGTTTTTAGGAAATCTACCGTTGACATTGAATGCAGGGTACCTACTCGAACGGAAACGAGAATTATCGATGTAACAAGGACGGCCAAAACATATAGCACAGTAACAATACGGAACAAGGAGGGAACGTACGCAGAACTGCTAAAGCAGGTTAAAGAAAAAATTAACATCGACAATATGAACATAAATATTAAAGGAGTTCGTAAAATAGGGGAAGGTGATCTGCAAATAACAATTCAAGAAGGAAACGAGAAAGCCAGAATTCTGGAAAAGGAGCTGAAACAAAATTGCAACGCGACAGAAATTACAACGAGAAGCAGCGGCAAGACCCTTTACCTTCTAGGAATAGACCCAACTGTTGGCGAGGAAGAAATAAAAGTAAACCTAGGGAAAACCCTTAACATAGACAAGGATAGCATAGATGTAAGAGCGATTAGAAAATCCAGATACGAGAATAACATGGCGATAGTAGTTATGCCAGGTAAAGCAGCTAACGAACTTTTAAAGATGGAGAAAGTTAAATTAGGGTGGACAACCAGGGTCAGTGTTAGAGAACGGATAAAAATCGAGAGATGTTATAGATGCCTGGAACACGGGCATAAAACTAAGGACTGCACATTAACTGGTGACAAGCCAGAAACATGTCTAAACTGCGGCCAGGATGGGCATCGGTCGAAGGCCTGCACAAATGATCAGTACTGCATTAAATGTAAAGAGAAAGGCCACAGATCTGATCAAATAAAGTGCCCTTATTTTAAGGCACTAGTTGAAGAGGCGAGAAACAAAAAGAAGAATATTTTTAAAAGCCAGATAAGTGTAAACAGTGTCGCAACGGGGTATTCCTATGCCTCCGGAGGGAGACGTACGTCTCTAATCTAACGCACACAATCATTAACATGAAACCCCTAAGCGTTCTACAGACAAACCTTGGTAGAAGCAGAGCAGCGCACGATATGGTATACAAAGCGATGGGGGAGCGAAAAGTAGATGTATTGATGGTAAGCGAACCGAACAAGAGTATAGTCAAAGGGGGAAATTGGATAAAGGACAGGTACATAGATGTGGCGGTTATGTTTAGAAATAGGAAAATCGAAATCGGAGAGATAATTAAGGGAGAGGGTTACTTGGCTATAGATTGTAAAAAGTTTAAATTGATCTGCGTTTATATATCACCGAATATAGATATAAAGAAATATAAAGAGAAGGTTGATGAAATTATGGATCTGTGTAGAGCAACACGAAGAGACTACCTACTTATGGGCGACGTAAATGCAAAATCGAGATATTGGGGCTCAAGGAAAGATGATAAAAGGGGAGACTATCTAGTAGAGTGGCTAACGGCGCTGGATATCAAAGTAATGAATGCAGGAGACTCGCCAACATTTGTTAGAGGAGACCAAAAGTCCTTCATCGACATAACGTGTGCTACACAGGGGCTGGCAGGGAAGATACAGAATTGGGAGGTTCTAGAGGATGAAAATCTAACAGATCATCAATACATCTACTTTGAGATAAAAGCTATAGGGGGTAAAGGGTCCATCGAAAAAAGACAATACGCGGTAGATTGGAAGGCATTCGAAGCAGGGTTAGAGTTGAGGACGGCTACTAGTACAGCAGAGAATATTGGCGATAAAGGTGTCGAGTATATAAGGGAATCATACACGAATAGTTTAAAACGAAAAGAACGCAAATGCAGGACAGTCCCTTACTGGTGGAATTCAGACATCGAAAATATTAGAAACGAATGCAACAAACAGAGAAGAATCGCAACGAGACTAGCCGCTCAACCCGATGCCCCAACAGAGGAAAAAGATACTGTGCGAAAAAACTATAAGAATACGAAGAAGCGGTTAAAGAAATTAATAAGGGACGCTAAAAGAAACGAATGGCAAAAAGTATGCAACGAGGTGGAAACCGATATCTGGGGAGTTGGGTACAAAATAGTCACAGGAAAGATGCTGAAAGTAACGCCGGTAGATCTAGACCAAAAGACAAAATTAGATATAGCAGCAAAGCTTTTTGTGGTAGGGACCACCGACGATTGTAAACATGCTACAACAGAGTCCAGCTTTGAACTGTTCTCCGCCAAGGATTTGGAGGAAGCGGTAAAAAGGATGAAGGGAGGTAAAGCTCCAGGACCAGACAGCATACCTGTTGAAGCGATAAAAGAGACATTTCGAATCTGTCCGAAGCTATTATTGGGAATCGCAAATAAAATACTTACCGAACAAAGGTTCCCCGACGACTGGAAAGTAGCAAGAGTTGTGTTGATTCCTAAGCCAAAGAGCGGGAAGTTTAGACCCATATCCCTGCTGAACACCACCTGCAAATTAATAGAAGCAATGATTAAAGCTAGACTAGAAAGAGAACTGGAAGAGAACGGCAAGATATCTGGGGACCAATATGGATTCAGGCAAGGCAAATCAACTCTGCAAGCTATGGACCAGGTCATACAAACGTTAAATGGCAGTAATGAGGAATGGATAGCTCTGATTACAATAGATGTAAAAAATGCTTTCAACATGGCGTCCTGGGAATTAATAATTAAAGAACTGAGGAGCAAGGGTATATCCAAGTATCTCGTCAATATAGTAAGGTCGTATCTCAGTAATAGAAAAATAGCGGTTGGTAAAACAGTGTTACCAGTAAAAGCCGGCGTTCCGCAGGGTTCGGTCCTAGGACCAACTCTGTGGAACGTCCTATACGACGGGGTACTTGGTATAAAATTTCAGGAAGGGGTTAGAGCTATCGCATTTGCAGATGACCTGGCTCTCATAGTTGAAGGAGTTGATCCGCCAGACCTTAGCCATAAGGTCAATCTGGCCACGCGGAAAATAGGAAAGTGGATGGCGAGTAGAGGTTTAGAAATGGCCCCGGAAAAAACGGAAGCGGCAATCCTAAAAGGCCATAAGTGGGAGAAAAAAAGAAGTGAAGTTGAATTCGTCATAGAGGACCAAATAATAAAACCGCAGCCAGCCATCAGGTATCTCGGAGTAATGTTCGGGTCGGGAGGAAACTTTAAACACCACGTCATGTACGCATGTGAGAAAGCGGAAGCAAAGGCTAATGCGCTAAGCAGGCTAATGCCAAATATGCAGGGAGCTAGCAGCAAGAAGAGAGAGATGCTAGGGGCAGTGGTACACTCGGTATTACTATATGGAGCACCGATATGGGCTGATGCAATCCAGGTTAAGAAATACAGGGAATTATTGGAGAAGGTTCAAAGGAAACAACTGCTCAGAATCGCCAGCGCATATCGGACAGCTTCAACAAAAGCTCTGCAGGTAATCACAGGCGTAATTCCCATACATCTAATGGTGGAAGAAAGGGTGATTCTGTATAAGAATGGCATAGGAAAAGACAATACGCGAAAAGGGGAACTTCGATCTGAGATACTGGATAAATGGCAAAAGGAGTGGGAAGAAAATAGTGAGGTCGGTCAGTGGACAAAAACACTGATCCCTGACGTGAAAGAATGGGCGGAGTGTAAACACCGGAGGCTAAACTTCTATGCCACCCAAATTTTTACGGGACATGGAAGTTTTCAGTCATACGTGAAAAGAATTGGAAAGTCGACAAGAGAGATATGCAGATATTGCACTGGCACAGACAACGCAGAGCATACTCTATTCGCGTGCCCCAGATTCGTGGAAGATCGAAAAGAACTGAGTATGAAGATAGGTGAAATCAAAATAGAAAATTTAACGAGAAAAATGACATTGAAAAAAGAATTCTGGGAGGCAGCAATAGAGACAATGACGAAAGTAATGAAAGTTAAGGAGAAGGACGAAAGAGAGGATCCATTGACTGAATAAGATACGAAAGGACAACATAAGATAGGCTTTCCACCATGGATGCAATGCCGGGCGACGGCGGTTCCTATGGTTGGTAAGCGAGAAGAAGGGTCGAGGTGGTTTTAGTGGGTATACAAGGCTTGCACACCCCGCCTTGGAGTCCTCACACTACCGGGGAAGGGAAGAACCTGTACCCGGTGTGCATAAAGCATTTCCACCTGTCAAAAAAAAAAAAAAAAAAAGGGTAGGGTAGGGTAGGGTAGGGTAGGGTAGGGTAGGGTAGGGTAGGGTAGGGTAGGGTAGGGTAGGGTAGGGTAGGGTAGGGTAGGGTAGGGTAGGGTAGGGTAGGGTAGGGTAGGGTAGGGTAGGGTAGGGTAGGGTAGGGTAGGGTAGGGTAGGGTAGGGTAGGGTAGGGTAGGGTGGGGACCTAATGGCCGGGTTCTGGGACGCCATAGTCCCAGCGGGTCTCAGTAGGTGCGGTGGGGGGCCCATACTTACCGTACATTAAAACGCTGAGTCCGTAGTCCTGTGTGGATGAACCGGCAAATCCTATCTCCACCTCCTCGTGGTCTCCACCTCCTTGAAACGAAGGGCTAAAAATGCTAGAAACAATTAGGGAGCTATGTGACAAAACGGTTGAGAGTGAAAACGAAAGTAAAATATTAGAGGTAATTTTAGCTGAAAATGTAAACGTAGAAAAAGCCCGAAAGTGCCTGGAAATATCAATGCACAATTGTTCCTGGAGGGCACAACTGTGCAGAACAGCAAAGAACGATGAGAATCAAGCAGGGACAACAGGGGAAGGATATAAAAGGAACGATAAAATAATAATAAAATCGGGGGAGAGAAATTATGCGGACATTCTAAAGGACATGAGTAGTGTGATTAATATGAAGGAAATCGGGGTGAAAGTGGACAGAGTAAAAAGGACGGACAGAGGGGATTTACTAATAGAATTCAAGAAGGAGCAGGAAGCACAAAAGTTAAAACAGGCGCTGAAGGAAAAAATGGGACATATGGAAGTCATCCATAAAAAAGATGAAGCCATTCTGCATATATTGGATATTACACCCAATATCGAAATAGGGCAAATCGAAGAATGCTTAAGGAGAGAGGCACCAGGAATAGAACTGGAAGTGGCGTCAGTGAGACTGACCAAAGACGGAAATCAAATGGCGACAGTAAAAACAAGAAAGAGAAATGTGAAAAAACTTTTGGAGATGGAAAAAATTGACATAGGATGGGTAGAGTGTCGGATCCTGGAAAGGGTGCATGTAACAAGGTGCTATAGGTGTTTACAGTACGGACACAAAAGGGATGAATGTACTGGAGAGGATAGGACCGGACAGTGCATGAAATGCGGACAGACCGGACATATGGCGAGAGAATGCGAAAACGAGGAACTATGCGTGACCTGTGGAACTAAGGGACATAGGGCGGATAGTCTAGCATGTATAGAATACAGGAAAGCACTAGGACAGGAAAGAAGGAGAAGGAGTTCAATTAGAAACAGTCAAAGTAGGGGACGGAGTAAAAGCAGGAAACCCAGATCGGAGACGGGTGGGATAGCCACCAACCAAAATGGTACGAATCTTGCAAACTAATCTAGGTCGGTGCAAAATTGCACACGACATGGCGTACCTAATCGCCATGGAAAACAAAAGCGATATCATACTTATTTCTGAACCAAATATTAACATCTCATACCGGAAAAATATGCTTATTGATAAAGAAAAACTTGTTGCAATACAAATCCTAAATAAAAATGTTGGAATAGTCACTCATAAGATCGGTCAAGGTTACATCAAAATAGATATGGGAAGTTTCAATTTTTACGGCTGCTACCTACCACCAAGATTGGATCTAAAGGAATATCAAAGATATGTAGACAACATTATGAATGATATTAGAATTTCGGGAAAAGAAGCAATATTCGCGGGCGACATTAATGCCAAATCAACGTATTGGGGTTCACCCAATACTGATAAAAGAGGGGAGATCATTGAAGAGTGGCTGGCGGAACTAAATATGATCTGCACAAACAGTGGCGAACCAACATACATTCGAGGAAATTGTGCCTCCCACTTAGATGTCACATTCACTACTCACAAAATGAACAAAATGGTTAGAGGATGGGAAATATTAAAAGGCGAAATGTTCACGGATCATAAGCATATTAAGTACGAAATAACATACGAGAAAAAACGAGACAGAATAAAATCTGGATTTACGACTAGACTAAATACTACATTATTTACAAGGGCAATCGAAAATTTACAAATAGGGAAAGACGCAAATGCTAAGACATTAAATAAAATAGTTTCTGAAACAGTTAAAAGGTGTACAATAAAGATTAGAAACAGGGAAAAACAAACACCTTTCTGGTGGAGCGAGGAAATAGAAATAAAGAGACAAAATGGAATAAAAATACGACGATTGTATACGAAACTATGTACCAAATACGGAAACGATCACCAAAAAAGTATAGACGCTAGAATCGAATTAAAGGAAGCAAAGAAAAAAATAAAAATTCTAATTAGGAAAACAAAAAACGAACACTGGAAAAATTTATGCAATGACTTAGAAAACGACATATGGGGAGAAGGGTACCAAATTGCAACGAAGTATGTGGGCAGACCCGCAGCAAAATACAATCCAACGAGACAACAAAAAGTGGAATGGTGTAAGATACTCTTTCCAACAGAAGAAATGAGAAAAAGAATATGGCGAGAAGACAAAACACCTGTAAATAATATCGATGCAAAAGAAATCCTAGAAGCGACGCTGACAATAAAGAATAGAAAATCCCCCGGGCTGGACGGCATACCGCCAGAAGCTGTGAAAATTCTAGTTAAGACCAAAACAGAAGAAATATTAGAAATAATGAACAAATATATTATAGATCAAAGTTTCCCGGAAGTATGGAAGGTCGCAAACGTAATCCTAGTATGGAAAGGAAAAGAAAATATCGAAGCTTCGTCGTACAGGCCCATTTGCCTTCTAAGTTCTATTGCAAAATTATACGAAAGAGTAATAAAAATGCGTTTAGAGACCGTACTAGAAGATGGGGAGAAACTGTCAAACAACCAATTTGGTTTCCGTAGGGGACGTTCCACAATATCGGCCGTAGAAAGAATAAGAGAAATTACAGAAAATTCTAAAGAACCGTGGGTAATTATGATTACGATAGACGTTAGAAACGCCTTCAATAATGCGTCGTGGAGCAAAATTGTACAAGCGCTGGAAGCGAAAAATATACCAATATACCTTCGAAATATAATTGATGACTATCTATCGAACCGAAAAATCGTTATTGCAAATAAGGAACTAGAAACATCCACGGGAGTCCCGCAAGGATCGGTGCTGGGGCCGATATTGTGGAACGTCCTCTACGACGGAGTATTAAACTTAAAACTACCTGAAGGGACATACACAATCGCCTATGCCGACGACCTATCAGTACTAATAGAAGGGACGGATACAAACGAGATAAATTGGAAAACCGAGACTACCATTGAGGAAATTACAAGATGGATGACAAAGAATAAATTAGAAATAGCACCGGAGAAATCAGAATTCTTAGTACTGAAAGGCCCAAGAAGTAAAAAACAAAACGAAATAATAGTACAAATAAATGGACAGAAATTAAAAAAAGCTTCGAACATTAAATACCTGGGAATAGTCCTTAGTCATAGATGTAATTTCGGACCGCACGTAAAATACATCATAAATAAAGCTAAGCAAAGGATGAACACGGTGGCAGGATTAATGGCAAATACTAGTGGGCCTGGATTTCTAAAAAGGAAGATGCTATATGGAGTTGTACAGTCCATCCTTTTATACGGGGCTCCGGTCTGGAAAAACGTTATAATATGGGAGAAATATAAAAATCTGTTAAATAGTACACAAAGACTAGCATTACTAAGAGTAGCTTCCGCATACAAAACGGTCTCGAAAGAAGCAGTGCAAGTCATAACCGGAGTCCCCCCCATTGACCTACAAATTCAGGAAAGAGATAGACTGTACAGGAGAGAGGACGGGAATACCCCTAGTGCTAAACGGGAAGAAAGGGAGAAAACGAATAGGAGTTGGCAGGAAAGGTGGGCAAATGAGACAGAAAATGCGAGCTGGACCCGGGAAATAATAAGGGATCTGGGAAGTTACATCGCATGCAGACACCGTAGAATCGAATATTTCACCACGCAGGCGCTAACCGGGCATGGAAGTTACGGAACATATACAAAAAGAATCAACAAGACGGATACCGATGTATGCATGAGATGTAACGTCCCAGACTCCCCTGAGCACACATTATTTGAATGCCTGAGATGGACCGAAGAAAGAGAGCTGATAAACAGTGAAGTCGGAATAATTAGCAAGGAAAATATGATATCTAAAATGCTGAATACTGAAAAAGAGTGGAATCGAATCCAAAGATTCATAATAAAGGTTATGTCAGCTAAGGAGAGAGAGGATAGGAGGTAAAGAGGATGAAAAAACGTGCCACTCCATCATTGACGGAAACCCAAGCAATGGGTATTACCAATGATGGAGAGAGGGAAAACTGGGGTGGTTTTAGTGGGTAGCCAGGACTTGCACACACCATCCTGGAGTCTCACACTCCCGGGGAAGGGTAGAACCTGTACCCGGGGTACATAAAGTATTTCCACCCGTCAAAAAAAAAAAAAAAAAAAAAAAAAAAAAAAAAAAAAAAAAAAAAAAGGGTAGGGTAGGGTAGGGTAGGGTAGGGTAGGGTAGGGTAGGGTAGGGTAGGGTAGGGTAGGGTGGGGACCTAATGGCCGGGTTCTGGGACGCCATAGTCCCAGCGGGTCTCAGTAGGTGCGGTGGGGGGCCCATACTTACCGTACATTAAAACGCTGAGTCCGTAGTCCTGTGTGGATGAACCGGCAAATCCTATCTCCACCTCCTCGTGGTGGTCCCTGGTAATGCGCGGCGTGCTGTGGAAGTACGTCTCGTAGCCAACGGAGAAGGGTTATGGCGAATTTCCGGCGCCTGAAACAAATAACTGGAATTAATGGGCTAAGGGAAGGAAAACCCTGACAGAAAACCAACCAAAACGCAATGAGATGTCGGACAATCAAAATGTGATACCCCAGGGGGGTAGGGCCGAAGGCCCGGAATCCCCTCCTGCAAAAGCAGGCTGCCCCGTGGATTCTGGGGGGGGCAAATTTCCGAGTTGCGCAAAAGACCAAACTGAACAGCAAGCTGATCCGTTCAAGCGTTCAGATAAACTTCGAAGGTCTCCGAAAAGAGGAGAAATAAATGCGAAAGTGGATAGCGATCCTATGGAAACCTCTAGCAAGGAGGACGAAACAACGGAAACTAAGAGAGATAGAGCAAGCAGCCAGCCCAACATTAAAAGATGGAGGGCGAGCTCCCTGTCATTGATGCAATCGAGTAAAAAGCGTCCTAGACAGGATGACGACTGGAACGAACTAAAAGACCGAATAGTAACAATGGGCAAATCTGCTAAGAAGATAATGGACTTGATTACGGCCAATCCAAATACGAAAGTTGAAATTAGAGAAAATTTTAAAATCTTCTATAGGCAAATTAAGGGTATAAGTGACCAAGTCAATGATTGGGAGGATTCACCGGAACCTGTCACAGTGAAACCAACAACGAGGAGCATTGGGATCCAGGCGGACGTAGACGAATGGAAAAGGGAATTAGAACAGGAAAAACAGAAGGAAACACAAAAAATCAAGATACTTCTAGAGGAAAACGAAGATAACGAGAACGAGCTAATGTCGGTCATGGACGTAGAATGGGAAACGAAGAATTATAAACGCACAGAAGTAATCTACACCCCAAAGGAAGATCTAACAAAAACAGACACGATGGCATTACTAGTCGACTCTACAAAGAAAGGTGAAGAAAAAGCAGCCCCCATCTATAATCAAATTATCCCTGGGCTAAAAAAGATTCTCTCGGAACCAATGGACGAAGGAAAAATGGAGTACATACAAACTCAAACCGAAATTACAAGCAAAGGAGGAACGGAAACTGAAAAAACGACGACTTACCTGTTACCCATGGATCTTGATAATCCAGAAATTGTAGACTTGCACTCAGTATACGACTTAAGCAAACAGTTAAAGGAAGAACTTACGAAAAAGGAAGTAAATAAATGTAGGATAATGAACAGTGATGTAACAAACCTGGACTACGTAAGGAAAACTATCGAATATGTTTTTAGAAAAGAACAGATAAAACTAGAAATAATAAACACACGAAAAAAGAAAGCAGAAAAAGGCAATAATGTGGACGGTACTAAAGGAATAACGAAGAGGGAAAAAATTATAATCAAACAAGAAGGAAAGACCTATGCTGAACTCCTCAAGAGTGTCAAAACAAATATAGATGTGAAGAAAGCCGGATACACAATCGAGAAAGTAAAGAAAACGATGAAGGGCGACCTGCTCCTAGAGCTAAAAGACAAAGATATGGCAAACAGGCTCAAAAAAGAAATCGATGACAAAATTAAAGATGTAACAGCTTTTAGAGCAAAGAACGAAGCCGGATTACAGATCATGGATATAACTCCAGATTTTTCGGAAAAAGAAATCGTAGATGAAATACA